CTAGATAGACAAACAATCAAATATTTTATTTACACAGGGCATGGGCTTTACATTTAGACACCTTATATTGTATCAGCTATTTTACAATTTACATTTTTTTTAACACAGTGAATTCACTATGGGAGTCTCCGCCCCAGAGGAACTCAGAGTCTAAAGTTCCTAGCACATTTAGACAGGGAAGGACCGGTTTGTTGATTGATGATTGTATGAGGAACGTCCTAACTACATGCAGATAGCGGCTTTGGATGGAACCTGCAGGATCACCATGGATCCAGGATCAGTAGGGGGCCCCATGAGATGCCCCTGGTACCTTTTTCATAGGCTTTTTTGAGTTTGGGCAAGGACACAGGGGCCCCATGATCCCCTATTGCCCGGGGGCCCCATGAGTTGTCAGTCCACCCCTGCATGCAATCCATCGTATGTTTACTCCATACATCCTAAATGTGCCCCCAGTAGGAAGTGGGATGGAAAGGCTCCATCACAGGCTAAAGCTCTTCTGAGATATTCAAAAGCCATCAAGGAGATTTAATCACTCCATGAAATCTAGTATTTCCCTTTCCCTATAATTTGATGTGCCTGATATTTCAGTATGGTCATCTTAAAGAATAGCTAGGGGCCAAACTTTTCATTTTGTATTTTTCAATAGAGCACGCATGGCTAAGGCTCTCTGTCAGGTTTTTATTGCTGTTTCCATATTAGACAGATTTATATCACCAGGAAAGAAAATGGTAGAATTAAAGGGAACTCTTCAATCTGTTCATGTGACATTGTCTAGGTCAGTCTTACTCAACCTTTTCATCACTGAGGAACCGTTGAAATAACTTTCCAGGCGCAGGGAACCCCTATTACAGTGTAACTAAACCCCTGACCCTGCATTCACTATATCTGGTCTCCCTGGATCCTGCATTCACTATATCTGGTCTCCCCGGACCCTGCATTTACTGTATCTGTATCTGCTCTTCCCGGACCCTGCATTCACTATATCTGATCTCCCTGGGCCCTGCATTCACTATATCTGGTCTCCCCGGACCCTGCATTCTCTATATACGGTCTCCCCGGACCCTGCATTCTCTATATACGGTCTCCCCGGACCCTGCATTCACTATATCTGGTCTCCTCGGACCCTGCATTCACTATATCTGGTCTCCCCAAACCCTGCATTCACTATAGCTGGTCTCCTCGGACCCTGCATTCACTATATCTGCTCTCCCCAGACCCTGCATACACTCTATCTGGTCTCCTCGGACCCTGCATTCACTATATCCGCTCTCCCCTATATCTGGTCCCTGCATTCACTATATCCGGTCTCCCGGCACCCTGCATTCACTATATCCCCCAGGTCTTCCTGGACCCTGCATTCACTATATCTGGTCTCCTCGGACGCTGCATTCACTATATCTGGTCTGCCCGGACCTTGCATTGACTATATCTGGTCTCCCCAGACCCTGCATTTACTATACCTGATCTCCCCGGACCTTGCATTCACTGTATCTAGTCTCCCCAGACTCTGCATTCACTATATCTGGTCTCCCCAGACCCTGCAATCACTATATCTGATCTCTACGGATCGTGCATTCACTATATCTGGTCTCCCCGGACCCTGCATTCACTATATCCGGTCTCCCCGGACCCTGCATTCACTATATCCGGTCTCCCCGGACCCTGCATTCACTATATCCAGTCTCCCCGGACCCTGCATTCACTATATCCGGTCTCCCCGGACCCTGCATTCATTATATCTGGTCTTACGGACCCTGCATTCACTATATCCACTCTCCCCGGACCCTGCATTCACTATATCTGGTCTCCCCTGACCCTGCATTCACTATATCCGGTCTCCCACAGTACACACAACATGGAAATGCAATTATTTTAGTAAATAAAAACTGCTAAATACCTTTTCTCATCAGCAGTATATAGCAGTCTTGTGACTTCTATCAGTATCCTGCCAAGCACGGCTTAAAGCTTGTAGGAGTTTTCATTCTCCTCTGACTGTCCTATGAGGCTGCATGACCCCTGACCCTCTGTCTGGACAGTGCTGATTGGCTCTTCACATGCACCCTCCCAAGAAAATGCACACCAAACTGAGCATGTGCAGCTTGCCCCCAAGACTCTGTTTTATCAGCAGATGGACTGGGGACAGTAGAAGGGGAGGATCACAAAAGACAGGATCAAATCATTTTTACACAATGCAGAGGATTAACCCCTTAAGTTCCACAGTGAGTATAACAAGCATGCTTTACTGCATCTACAGACTGATTTTACTGCTGTGGGTTTAGTAACACTTTAATAACTACTGTATCTACAACTCATGATAGATTAGTGTGATGGTCAGTGGGAAGAATGCTCCCTACACTTGTGTTCATTGAGAAGAATTACCACCTTACAGATAATTAAAAAGCTCTATAGTGTCAGTGGGAACTTATCCGAGAGGCAGAACTTGCTCATTTCTCAAGGAAGCCCTAGCAACCTCTGGAGGAACTCTAGGGTTCCATGGAACCATGGTTGAGAAACCCTACTCTAGGAGATTTTCTTTGGAGAGTTCTCCTCTCGCTTCCTGTTGTGTTTTAAAAATTAGACATACAAATTTAGATTTTGCTTGTTCTCTCAACTATGTGGATGAAGGAATCTTACTATTTGGCTGTTGCATTCAAACTATGTGTGCATCTTATTGAATGCAGTAACTTGTTTGGCCAACACTGTTCCACTTGGCTCCTTTAATTCTTCAATCAAAGTTTGATGAGCAAGGTGGGTCTGACTAGAGATATGCTTGGGTGTCCTCCAAACTCACCACTACCTGAACTTCGATTTTGAAGTCCAATCAGCTGAGGGCCAGGTCACTCCATGGCATAGCACATGGCTGGTGAGGACAGCGACCTTATATGGAAACATGTCAATATTTAGTCCATATTTAGTCATTGTCATTGGTAGGGGCGGACTGACAACTCATGGGGCCCCCCGGGCAATAGTGGATCATGGGGCCCCTGTGTCCTTGCCCAAACTCAAAAAAAGCCTATGAAAAAGGTACCAGGGGCATCTCATGGGGCCCCTACTGACCCTGGGCCCTCGGGCAGTGCCTGAGTTTCCAAATGGTCAGTTCGTCCCCTGGTCATTGGTTAAATGTAAATGAGGCCCGTGTCCATATAAGGGCAATGACATCACCAGCATCACACCTCTTTGTTTACATGTGCTATGGGGTGGGTAATGATCCCATCGGCAGATACAGTGATGAAAATAAGTATTTGATCCCCTGCTGACTTTGAATGTTTGCCCACTCACAAAGAAATGATCGGTCCAAAAAATTGAATCTGAATGATGCAGAGGAGGACTGGTTGGTGGAAACATTCTGCTTTGGGGGTGTTTTTCTGCTAAGGGGACAGAACAACTGCACCGCATCAAAGGGACGATGGACGGGGCAATGTACCGCGTAATCTTGAGTGAGAACCTTCTTCCCTCAGCCAGGGCATTGAAAATGGGTCATGGATGGGTGTTCCAGCATGACATTGACCCAAAACACACGGCCAAGGCAACAAAGGAGTGGCTCAAGAAGAAGCACATTAAGGTCCTGGAGTGGCCTGGCCAGACTCCAGACCTTAATCCGATTGAAAATCTTTGGCGGGAGCTGAAAGTTCCAGTTGCCAAACATCAGCCACCAAACCTTAATGACTTGGAGAGGATCTGCCAGGAGGAGTGGACCAAATCCCTCCTGAGATGTGTGCAAACCTGGTGGCCAACTCCAGGAAATGTCTGACCTCTGTGATTGCCAACAAGGGATTTGCCACCAAGTACTAAGTCATGTTTTGTGAAGGGGATCAAATACTTATTTTCCCTCATGAACATGCAGATCAGTCATCATTTCTTAGACAAGCATTTCTGCTGATTTTTTTGTTGCTATTCTGTCTCTCAGTGTTACAATACACCGAAAATTCGATTTTTAGACCGATCATTTCTTTGTGAGTGGGCAAACATTCAACATCAGCAGGGGAGCAAATATGCATTTCCTTCACTGTAACTGGACTACAAATCAGTGTGAGGTGGAAACTACGGACAGAGATGAAATCGGAGGACACCTAGGCTCATCTCTAGCGATAACAAGGACAGCTGCAGTTTGAATTTCTTGCTGAATGAGCCACAATTTAAGCCATGTATGACCAGCTTAAGACAGGAAGTGAAAGGAAATATCCTCAACAGGACAGAGACACAACAACAAAAAAATTGCAGGGTTTCTTGCCATTTTCCTCTCTTCCAAAACTATACAAAAACGTTTTGACTGTAGTTACACTTCAAAGCCGGTCATAGAGGGTTCGTACCAGTTCAGCAGGAACCGGCTGAGATTCAAACCATGTATGGGCAGGCAGAATGTGCCCTACGTTGATCGATCGATCAGCTTGGGTACATCCAGCCTGCTGGATCTCCATGTATAATACATAAGGGAGGATATGATCTCCATGTATAATACATAAGGGGGGATATGATCTCCATGTATAATACATAAGCGGGATATGATCTCCATGTATAATACATAAGGGGGATATGATCTCCATGTATAATACATAAGGGGGGATATGATCTCCATGTATATAATACATAAGGGGGGATATGATCTCCATGTATAATACATAAGGGGGATATGATCTCCATGTATAATACAGAAGGGGGGATATGATATGATCTCCATGTATAATACATAAGGGGGGGATATGATCTCCATGTATAATACATAAGGGGGATATGATCACCATGTATAATACATAAGGAGGGATATGATCTCCATGTATAATACATAAGGAGGATATGATCACCATGTATAATACATAAGGGGGGATATGATCACCATGTATAATACATAAGGGGGGATATGATCACCATGTATAATACATAAGGGGGGGATATGATCTCCATGTATAATACATAAGGGGGATATGATCACCATGTATAATACATAAGGAGGGATATGATCTCCATGTATAATACATAAGGGGGGATATGATCACCATGTA